TTTTCCTGGCTGTGGCGTGCAGGCAGGGGCAGCGGGATGGAGAGAAGAAGACGGGAGGAGAATAGACAAAACGAGGGAGAGAAGCCGCACTGCTTCTGCTTCTTCTCCCAGGCGGCGGCGAAGATCCAGCGGTTCGTGCCTCTACCGGACACTCAGCTGACAATAAACACCTTTGATGCTGACTTGCTGTTGGGCTGTTAAACAAAAAAAAAAAAAGTTCCCAGTAAAACCCCCACGGTCCGGGTGTTTTGGGGCGGGAAGTGGGGGAGAACATCCAAGCAGACCGCCTCATATCCCCCCATGACTTAATTAGTGCACTCTGATTCCCCGCATTAGTTTACTGTATAGGAACAACTTTTATCCTTAACTGTAATCAGCTTGCCCAGAAGAACTGAGCACAATAAGAAGCCCCGTTTGAAGTTTTCCCTTTGTGTTATCTTGAGCACTTCGACAAAAGCCCAGTGCAGCTAGCCTCAGCGTATAATAATGGTCCAGTAGGCAGTCTGCCTGTTGAAAACCTGCAATGTTGCATGTGCCACCTGCAGTTACTTCCCCCCAGACTAACGCAGTTGTATTTATTATCCCTTAATTGCAGCACAAGCGTTTATGGCTTCAGTGGTTCCTCGAGGATTAGATGTTTTTTTTTTTTTTGCGGGTAAGTGATCATATTACATATAAAATTGATTTTGTTAAATTATTTAAGAATTCCAGCAGCCTGGTCCACCAATCTCATGAAAATGCTCTCTCTTGATTAAAGGATTTATTCCTTAAGTGAATAAATTCTGCCATTTATCACCATTTGCCCTCCTCACCCGCTGGAAATAAAAAAATATATAAAAAAATGAGAAGAATTCTTGAGGTGTCATAAATATGCATAATCAAGGAAGACTGGACATTACTCCAGCTTTTAGGTCTGTCATCAAGAGACGACCATGACAGGCTGCAGAGCGTTTACGAAGCTCTTTTTTTTAAATCACTCTGAAGCTCAAGGTCGTTCTCTACTTTGACGGTAACCTTCTTCATCTATCATGGAAAACGCACGAAAAAATTCTGTTTAGTCGGAGAGTTCAAACATATAAATATCTATTTTGTTTGAAATTATAAATGACTACCTGAGAATCTTTTGCTTGACGAGGTGATTTGGCGTAGGTCGGACAAGCAGTCTGGGCGTATTTGCATCCAGGAAGTTGAGGAATCTTTTACTTTGACCAGCATGCTTCTTCTGACGAGAAATAGCAGTTTCCCAGTCAGTGGCCTGACTCAGATTTGACGCAGTCTGTGGAGGTGGCTAAAGATTAGGGCAACAGAGAGGAGGCCTTGCGACCCCTAAGCGTTGGAGTTTCTACATCGTCAGAATACCAGAGAAAATGTGCAAAAAAAAATGGCCATCAATTAGAAGAGAAGTGTTAACTGTATATTGCCAATAAAGATTTTTTCCTTTGATTATTAAGAATGTAAGTCAAAAAAAAAAAAAGATTCTGAACCTTTCTGTGTTATTAAAATGTAAATATGAACAGATTAATCTTCCCCCTCTGCACCTCTCCCAAAAAAATTGATAGTCTCTTAACATTGTTTTATATATTCTGAGATATATCAGCTTCCCAAAAGCGTCCCAGTTAAATAATAATTTTAAAAAAATGAATCCAACTCTGGCAGGTGTATGAACATTTTGGGGCTCAACTATTGATATCTCTGATTTATCATTTAAATCAGAGGATGATTTCTAGAACTAAAGTGGTGAAGGCACACAGAATTAGGCTTTTTTTTTTTTATTTAAAGACTATTTGGGTTTCTTTACTGCATTATATTTCTTTATCGCTGAGCAGGTTGTATGTGTGTCAGCCGCTTCATGGTAGTCTCTATTAACAGTGCATCTGCACCATCTAGTGTGTAAAGATGGAAAAAGGGAAAACTTAAGACCTGTCCAGTCACACGCCTCACACACGCGTTGATTTTAATTATTTGTCTGGAGACCGTTTTTCTAAGTAAACCAGAGATCCACAATAGTAAATAAGACGTCCTCACTTAACTAGACTAACAGAATAAAAGATTAAACTCCATATATGCATAAAGTAAAGGAAAAAGTTTCTATTACATTAATAATTGTCTTTTGCTTTCCTGAGATAAGGTCATAGTTTCCAGGCCTTTGATGGAAACAAAACATACAAACAAAAAAAAAATAAAAGATACAGCTTTCTCTACAATACTGCCACCATTGTCGAAACTGCATTTTAAAGCCCATCTTCCAATAATCAAAAACACAAATAGGGACTGGTTTTACTAATTATGTTAAAGCATACAATATTTGTTAATACTTAACACAGATCCCATGCAAATAAATAAAGTTAATAACACTTAATGGATGTGCAAAAAAACCTTTATGTAAATGAATCTTTTATGGCGTGATTTGCACAGCCACCTTTTGCCCAGAGGAAAGCAGTTAGTCCAAAGCACCCAGAGTGAGGCCCTTTTAATGATTTTACATCAGCAGTGGTACAACTGTGGCCTTTCAGTACAATTGGTTTATCAGATGATACTTTTTCCAAGACAAGCTCTTTTAAAGAAGACGCTTTCATTTGGATGTTGTTGTATAAAGGACTACAAACACTCCCTCCCTCATTAAAGCCTAAGTGTTTTTTTTGTTTGTTTGTTTTTTATTGAGACACATACACAATTTTATCTGCTTCAAAGACAACATTTTTGGACATTATGTTTGACATATTGTTCAGGATGAACTCAGGTTATGATTTTTTTTTTTTTTTCAGACAGTGGTAAATTGCAAATATTTTCTACAAGTCACATAACTACTGACAGTGACGAGATCCAAATATAACTATAACACTAAGGAGGTCATGGCCAGTTTTCTAAAATACATTTAATCCCAAATGATTTTATACTCCTAACAGATTTAGATTTAAAGTTATTATTCAAACAAGTTCAACAAGTTGTTTCCTAGACAGTCATCCTCAAAAAGATAAGGCTATGGTTTTTTTCCCCCCTCATTGTGGAAAGGATTAGGATTAGGTACATTTGGAGTTCAAATGAATACGAATTTATTATTTAAATTTCACATTTAATATGCTGCAAGTTTTTTTTAAGCATGTGATTGCGTGTACAATCCAGCAGAGGGCGCCACGGTCATCTTTATAGAAATTCCCCCCCCCCCCAACCTACGTGGCAAGCGTTTCACTCTGTTATAAAATTGTTACACAACGCACTGGGTCCGAGTATTTTTGTCTCAAATGTGAAAAGCCTAAAAAAAAAATATAAAATAAAACACTAAACTGTTGATATTAAGACATCTTTAAGTGAGACTGTTTCCACTTTTTGTACAAGGGCTTAATTATTTCTATAGCCCTGTTATTGGCTTTCACCCAAGGCAGTAAATATTTGGATAAAAGAGGTTTTATCAAAACATTCATGTCTTAGCAGGAGAAGCTGGTATAATGAACATCAATTATGATTCATTTTCACTATTGCTCAACAATGTGGCTCACAAGAACATTCATGTGGAAAAATGTGTGAGGGATGCTTCAAAATGCGCTTCAGGTGGAAAAATACAGATACGTTTCAGCCTCGCACACCGACATTACAGCATCTTCATTGATAATAGATAAAAATCACAGTAAATTTTGACATCATTACTTTATTAATACTTTGCAGTCTTTTAGCCAGCTGAAACTATATAAACTTGACTTTTATTTCATCAAGCTGCAAAAGAGACGTGCAGGAAGAGCCGCGAGACACGGCTCTTTTCCTGATGCCGAGCTGCATTTTCAACAACAAATCCCGTAACATCAGTTGGATTGCTCCAAATGAACGCCAAGCCCTGCAGCTAAGCTAAGCCAAGCCATGTGAAAACACAAGAGTATCAACATTGTAATTATGTCCATCTCCTGGAACTTCACCATCCTAGCATAATTTCAATTCCCTTTAACAAATTATATATTTATCCATAAAGTGAAGAAAAAGTTTCTATTAAATTAATAACTGTCTTTTGCTTTCCAGAGATAAGGTTAACAGGCCCTGTATGGAAACTCGGTTGTCTCTATGCCCAGCGGCGCTCTTCAGCTCATCCAGAGGGATTTTGAAGGGATTCCCAGACCAGAAGAGTCATATAATCCCCCAAGTGACCTCTGGGTCTCCACCGAGGTTTCCGTCCAGCGGGACATGCCCAAAAAAAAAAAAAAAAAAAAAACCAACCTCCCTAAGGAATCCTGATCAAATGGCCACACTGCTTTATCTGACCAAGATGTCATGTTAGGGCTTACATAATCATGCTGACTGGAGAAAGTTGTCCCACAGACAGGCACTGACCTCTACGAGGTGGGTCAGCCACAAAAATATCACTGCTAAAGACGCTGGATGTTTGTAGAGGTCCACAATCCTCTTACTTTGGAAATCAAGGTCTCAAGAGTATGAAGAAACGCTGGAGAGGCACAGAATCCAAAGCTGCTGTGATTTTCCCAGTCAGTGGTGATTTAGTGAGGCATTTCATCTGCTGATGTCAGTAACGCTGTGTTTTATCGAGACCAAAAATCAGCAGAGCCATCCGTCTCAGAGTTTTAGATCGAACGCTGCAAATAGGTAAAAACAAACAAAACCTGATGGAAAAAATAATGGCATCAAGATCATTTGGGAAAAAAAAAAAAGTTTATTAACTTAACAAGCATACAAAACAACAAATCAATTTTTAAACTACCAGTGCAGTTTTAGTGCAATTCCAAAATATATAGATATATGCATTTTCCATATGGGCATTGTTAATCAACTGTCAGAAATAACCGTTTAAGTAATTTGATTATCTTTTAAACAATTATCCTAGCCAGAGGAAATTCACACGTCATACCATCTTGAGGTAAAACTGTACACATCCAACCCTTAATGTACAAAACGAAGCACTAAAGATCGACACGTTAAATATTGAACGGAAATATTAGCACAATACAAATCGATGCATTTGTTAGACTTAAAAAAAAAGAAAAGAAAAAAAACAGTACTTTTGGTTTTTGAGTTTAATAAATATATAGGTAATGCACCATTTCAAACATACAGACAGAAATTGGTCTGAAAAGATACAGACTGTCAGTTTCCATTTAAAAATAAAAAGAAGATTTTTCTCATTAAATGCGTTTCTTTTTTTTTCCGAATTAAAAGCTGCAGCATCGATGAACGTGGGGGCAAAGCGACTTATTTAGTCACATTATTTATCCTCAGCCTTCAGGTTAAAAAAAAAAAAAAATTTTAATGTGTTAATAAAACATTCAATGTTCGATTCCTCAACAGCGATTGCAGACGCCACAAGTAAGTTTCATTAATTTCTTACTGAATGAGAATCTTTCTGTAATTTTAAGACCGGATCATAGAATTACACGGCGAAGATGCGAGAGCAATGAGTTCAAAGACGCAAAAAACAACAAATACACAGAGAGTACTTGCTTTTAGTTGGGTCCTGGTCGCATCCACCTTTCAAAATTTCCTACTCTTGCAAGTTTCGTGTACAGCTTCACCGTAAATGAAATGGAGTCGTCCTTTTAAAAGGACCAGCCAAGTATCGCTTCATATCCACCAGAGAAACACTTTGTACCCATTTCACAATTAATTTTATGGTCGTTTTCCATGTTTTGCCAACTTAATATTTTCTGGTTTGTGTAGGAGCCAGTCTCTCAGAACCGCAATTAGTGGAAATGGGGTGGAATTTAATGTCTTCAATAAATATATTATAAGTAATGTAAAATATTTGGAGTTTTAGCATTTTTGTGATTCTGCTTCTACAGAATTAATCAGTTAATTACTCAATTAATTAAACTACTGCACAATGGCCGAATGAATGTATGAACGGTTTGCTTACAGGAGAAAAAAAAAAAAAAAAAAAAATACATGTACGAAGGGAGAAAATGGCAACATGGAGGTACGAACTGGCCAAGGAGCAATTTGACCAAGAAGCCCTTTGAGTTTGAACTCTGACCTGCTGGTTCTTTCTGTCCAACGAACAGAATCGGACTGTGCTTCATTGTCGGCAAACACAATATGAAACAGGTTCCAACCCTAAAAGGTGTAAGCTTCACCATTCAGTGTGCCATGCTGAACAGTTTCTCTAAAAAAAAAAAAAACATCTGAGGAGCTCTGTAGATCGATCTATAAATTGCATGACTAAAGCCCGTTTATAAAAGGCAAATATTTTAACGATCCATGATTATCCCCCTTGGCCGACTTGTTTTTCCCTCCTCAGGTGCTGCAGGTACGATGTTGCATAAATAAACTCACCATGGAACCCGACACCCTTGCAAAGCTTATTGTTTTATACATTCCCTCATTTCAGCAAATTGGTTTCCCCTCATTTATATGTAGATATAAATGTATGTTTTAACTCAGCAGTTAATTCAGTTTCTTTTTTTTTTGTTCAATCACATATTCCTCAAGTTAGTACGTTAGTAAGGAAAACTGCTATGGTCTGGTTTACCTTGGGGTTAAATACTAAACACACTGGCATCACAAGTGTACAAACCAAAAAAAAAAAAAAATACAAATAATAAAATAAATTTATGCATGGTAACATCTTTCACTTGTATACAATTTGAAATTGTATGGTACCTTAAATACTATGTGCCCTTTGAAAAAGCAAGGAACGTGTACATCATTTAATATTTGTGCCATTTCTCTAATATGTGAGATTCAAAAAGCACTCGAGGTTTCATTCAGCACCAAGCCACACAGCGAGAACACATATAGGCCTTTAAGACACAGCTCTCAATCACAGCATGTTATCTGTACAGATCACAACTGGGTGAGCTGTGGCCATCCTTTCACAGAGTCTGAACTAAAGTAAACGCCATCTTGTTTCGCTTCTTCTGCTTTACTTGTAGCTAAACACAAAGTAAACTCAATATGTAGCCGACGAGATCGTCCTCCGATCTCCTCGGCTACATATTTTACAATACCCTAAAGAATTTTTTTTTTTTTTTTTCAATCTGTGCTTTAACTTTGTAAATTAAAGAGAAAGGCTTGGCCACAGCTTAAAGGGTAACTCAACAAAAACTTTGGCGCGCCTCTGCTTCACAGCCACGCCCCAGTGACGTCACAGCAGGTGTTCTCCGCTACCCGTCAAAGACCAAACACCTGCTGCAGCATCAGTTTGACTAATGATTAGAAGCTGCAGTCGCGGCCCACACAGAGGATTACAGCAGAGCTCATCAGCCTTATGCGATTCAGTGTTCAGTTACCCTTTAATGCTTCTCTTTTTGGTCTCCTCCCAGCATAGTCTGTACACTCTTCCAGCTCCACCTTCCCCAGTTAATGAATGTCGTTCCACTAGGTTCCTCTTGCATCGTCCGTGTTGCACTCTACCTAATGCACTCCTCCTCCGACGGGCTTTCTGATTCTTCGTTTTCACTGTCGTCCAACTCTGGAAGATCTCCCCAGAGGAGCAGATTCAGACCTGCAAGGATATTTAGGTAAATAAATAAATAAATAAATAAATAATGAAATATTTAACAGGAAGACACTACATGTTTACAACAGCCCACATTGGCACCCTCTGCAATGATGTGGAAACAGTTAAACTGAATTGATCTTTCACTGCAACTGCATTTACATAACTTTAAGTTAGAAATTCTGAAAACAGCAAGTCACAATGAAAGATGATCTTTTGAGAAGATGGCTGTACGGATCAGCCATTGGTACGAACGAGAAGTGATTGGAGCAAAAACTGCAGGTGAAGGCCTTCTGACAAAAACAACCACTGTGTGCGATGAAATAAATGTGGATCCTCGTTCTATTGCAATCTGTGGAACAAAAATTACCATCTGGGTAACGTGATATTTATACCCCAAGAAAACAGGCGATAATAAATTGCTAAATATAAATTCAAAGAGACGCTGTGAAATTTTATAAAGTCTAAATTTCAGATGCATTTATTTTATCCAAATAGTTGAATGCTACTGATGATTTTATTGAAAAGCGATTTCTTTGCATGGTAGTTTTTCCAACTGATGGAATGGAGTGAAATTTCAAAGGTTGGTTTTTTTTCCAACCTTATTCTTCAGCAGTAAAAGAAAAGTTTATTTTAAGGTGTTTTGCACATCTTTAACAGCGGGGCCTGAAGAAAAAAGTACCTGGTTAAAAAAAAAAAATGATAAAAGAGGGATGGGGGGCTTATACTAACCCGTAGCATCAAGTCTGTTGAGAGTGGACACAGCGTCGCTGTTGAACATCCAGAAATGGCCGTTGTTACATGACAGCAAGCAGGGTTTGCAGGGGGCAACCACATGATAACCCACAACATTGCCACTGTGAGCAGGAGTTAGAGGGAATAAAGAAGAAACCACAGGTCAGCACTTTTCCTGGGGACATGTGTGAAAAGTGCTAACTCCACTAGTGGCTGCCTATTATCTGCCAGGTGTTTTGTTTTTGTCCTGTGTGCAACAACAACAAAAGACTGGGAATACAAAAGAGGCTCAAACTCTGCTGCAATGTGAATTCACCTAAAATATACAGCAATGAAACTGCTTGGCAACTATTCCGATCATTTTAAGTGGAAACTTAAAATGCAGGTATTCCACTAGTAGTTCGTTCAAGTAGCAAGTGGGGAAATTAAAGCAAGTAGCGTTTCATTTATGTAACAAAAAAAAAAAAAAACATAAGCCTCATTTCCGAGCTAAAATAAAGCCTATTGATATCCTTGAAGACAACGATATTGTGAACATACCATTTGAGACATGCAATGTCTCTCAGTTTGCATTTGCAGCTCTCAGTCGAGTAGCAGCTGGCCACAAAGTCAACAGTTCTGACGGGAGGAAGCATCCAAATAGACACATAAGGCATTAAACACCTGTATAAAAATAACATCGACACTTGCTACACATAATACTTTCGTGGAAATATTTTACTGAGCAACACTTCTTGAAGCTAATTCCATCCCAGCAGCGGACATAAACAGAGGCTAGCAGCTAGGCTAATCCAGTTAGCACCTACCTGTTTGGAGGTATATCCGTGGAAAAGAGCTCAACTTCGGTGTCCGCAAGGAGCACAGCCTTCATCCCCCTGGTGCACAACAGACTGTCACAGAAGATGCAGTTCACCTGGGCCACGCATTTGTTCTTAAAGCTGGCGTTGGACGTGGACATTGTTGTTTAGCTAACAAAGATAAACCCCTCTCGCTGTTCAAGCCGGTGGTGTTAAACCAGTGTGGATCGGGTAAATGGTAGACGATTAACGTTTACTGTGGATGCGGCAACGGCGAATGGTCTAACGTCCTTGTACAAAAACGTTAGTCGTTTTGTTTTTTTCACCCCTCAGCGCTAAAACGGAAGACAGGTAACGGTACCTAAGAGGAATAGATACAGATAATAACCGCAAAACGACCGCTACATTGAAACCGGTTAGCTTTATTATTTAAAAATAACTAATATCGCCTTTTTATTCAGCTATCTCGAGATCCATGCAGATATACTTAACAGCTAACTCAGTAGCTGTCAGCTTTGTTTACAACTTCCTGGTGTTTAACGACACTTCCTAAAACCACGTTTAAAAGACCCTACATCGGATTCTCATTGGATGATTGTTGCAGGAGCTAATCTTGTTGGCCAGTTTTTTTACAGGACCCGAATTTGATTGGTTGAAAAATCAAAGTTGAAAAGCCCTCAGTAAATAATGTAAAGATCCACTTGTTAAGTGAAATGCCATTTAAATCTCATGCCACTGTTTTAGGAGCTAAAAGCTGGTCCGCATCATTTGTCAGCCAACGAGACAGAAAGTGGTGTTCCGGGTAGGCGGGGTTTGCGCAACCATTTCATCCAGTGCATCCGGGGCATAAACGTGCAGATCCATCGTTGAATTCTTCTACCTTGTTGCTAAAATATAGAATAATAAAGGACAGAAAAAGTAAGTAACATGCGAAACATCGCTCTCTGACACGGTACAAGTCAAAACAAAACAGAACAAAGTTATGATCACTTAAGCACTTAACGAAAGTTGTTTAGTGAGTGGGACTGTGCACACCAGAAGAACAATTTACTGTACATCATCTGATGATGTGTAACTCTTAATTGGTATGGTATGGCATAGTGTGATATGGTAAAGGTCGTGGTATTTGATTGGAAGAGTTGAGATTACATTTGGTTATCTGTTGTTTCAAAATCCTACTCATGGGCAGATAAGGCAATGGCTGAAAAGATTCTCTAAAAAAAACATATTGTGATGTATCTTTTTTTCTCTTGGCGTTGACAACAACAGATAATTTTCAATGTTTCCTTGATTAGAATCACATCAGACTGGGTCAATCTAGAGAAATAAAGTTTGGACTGAGTCGTTCTACAGTGGTAGCAAGTGGTTTAAAACTGATTTTGTGATTGGGAAATCCTTTGCCATTTGGGGCATTCATAGTTGGGGTTTTTTTGCGTCTTATCCAGGGTGCCACTCATGCAAGGAACATTTCTGTCCAGGCTGTTTATTGGCCAAGATATTATCTCTTGTTAGTCTGTATTTTGTTGCCGCCTGCTCGTGTTGCCAGTGACATAATAAACTCTGTGAAATAATTTCTTCCCACCAAACTTCAATCAAAATAGTTAAATATCAGAATATGAATGCTGATGTGTTAAAGCTTTCTTCTGATAATGTGATTAATGTTTGAACACTCATATCAATATTTTAAAGATAATAAATTGGGGTATTCCCCAATACTACATGTTCAGGTTTCGTACTGCATTTTGAATTTTCACATAATTTGTTTTGGAAATCTCCACACGATAAAAACAAAAACAGTTGATTTTATCATTGTGTCATAGGCAAAGTTTGCTTTGTGTTTTGAATATATGTGCTATTCAGCAGATTATGTTGGCTCGCTACTTGACCTTTGTCAATATGCTGTTCTCAAAATGTATGGTATTTTTTTAAAACAAAAAAAGCTGCTGAAAAAAATTTGTTATAGCACAATTTATTCAACATATTTGCTCTATTCTGATCACACCAATCAACAAGCCACGCGCTAAATTAATAAATGTTCTTAGTCATTTATTAATTTAAACCTAGTACTGTCACCCTCACATACAGTGACTGTAAGGGGCGCTGTTTCTGCAAAGGTGTTGTGCAATGTTCACCACTGAAACAAATACTGATCGATTAAGTATTATCTAAACACATATCTGAAACACGCATCCCCACCGTGATGTCAACAAGTGAAGCATTTAGAAGTGTGTAATAAATTGAAATTTAAAGGAATAAACATTTAAATCGGCTGTTTTTTTCATGAGACATTACCACCTCGTGTTCAAATGTCTAAATGAAGAGAAAACAAAAACACACAACTGAACGTTCTCAAAGTCAAATAAAATCTGATCACTTGGATTATTTGATGTCATCCGTGCATGTGGAAGCTTGTTAGATTTTATTTAGATTTTTTTTAATTGTAAACAATGTCTTACAGCAAAAGACATTGTTTATGTTATTGTTACACAAAAGACATAACCAATATCTTTTGCTTATATCTGAAGACAAAAACAAAGACAAACTGACATGTTGTTGAGTGGCAAATTGGACTGTTTAGTGAAATGCTCCCTTACAGACTTCTTCTGCTTTTGTTTTCTCGTCGCAATTAATCAAACAAATTCTCAAACTAGAGAGTGCTGAACCAAAGTGCTTTCCACTGGTGCGGTATTAATAATAAAAAAAAAAAAATAGAGATCAGGATAAAAACAGGTGGAAACAAAACAAGTAATTAGACAACGTAGGTAAAAACATGAACTTGTTTGGCATAAATATAGACAGGACGGAGAACTCCAGGGAATGCTCATCATTGTGTCGTTGATATTGGCTTTCATTCTGATTTTATGGAGTTTCAGAGCTTTAGAAATGCCATTATAATCCTTCCCTGACTGATGTATATTATATTAGTGAATTATTTCTCAAGATGTGCTGCGTTTTGAGACTTATGTTATCAGTCAAGTTGCAAGTTTTGATTATTATTATTATTTTTTTTTAATTTACAGGCCTGGCAGTAATCTTTCTTGGGTGTAACTGGTGAAATGTAATAATAATAATAATAATAATAATCAAAAACAAAAAAAACTATGGTTAACCAGACATAATTCATAACTCAACAACATAAAGCTATATTTTCAGATAGTTTGATTAGAATAGCTTCCCCCACCCTCTTATTAAATCATTGAAAACTGATTGTTCCAGTACCTCAAATTTCCTTGGTTTGATATTAAAATTAGCCTGAGAATCTGGAACGTTTGTTGAAGTGTAACAACAACGCACAAACAATAAAAAAAATCTGAAAGGGTAGCATAGCTTTTCACTGCTCTGGGAACCAAAGAAAAATAATCTGGCGGTTAACTTAAAAAAAAAAAAAAAAAAAAAAAAAAAAAAAAAAAAAAAAAAAAAACTCTTTAGACTGTATTTCATCGTGAAGGTAAGTCGTTGCTCGCTTTGCCTGTGTGAGTTCTACCCATGTGTGCATGCAGGCATCCATGCTTGTCCTGCGCAGTAGAGCTGACCAACACTCCATCACCACTTTGGTTTCCTGCCTCTTTCTCTCTCGCTTCAGGAGGAGGAGGAGGAAGAAGAACAGATCAGTTGAGTTTAGACAGGCGGGCGGGCACCAACGCGAGAGTTCTTCGCCATCAGGGGAAGTTTTAGAAGAGCTTACTTATGAACTCTATGTGTTAGGTTTTATTATTTTTTTAGTTGTTTTTTTTTTTTTTCCTTTTATGAAGGGAATGAATCTTTTTCCACTTGAAGTTTTTTTCACCACAACCGGTTTTGAGGAGGCGGTGAGGCAGGAGCAGCAGCAGCAGCAGCAGCAGCCGCGCCAAACTCACAATGCGCCCTGAGTGAGCCGAGGCAGGGAGACAATACAGACCGGAGCTGCCATCTCTCCACCCGGGATCTCCCCGTTTTTGGGCTTTTTTTTTTAAGTTCTTCTCTCTTCTGAACGTTGTTCCAGAAAGGCTTTTCTTTTTTTTTTGTTTTTTTTTTTTGTTGCTGTTGTTGCTTCTACCCACAGCCGGTTAAGCGAGCGGTTCAGAGTGGGGGGAAAACAAGTGGGATCTGATCTCCAAACTCAGCCATGACGTCTCCGGCGAAATTCCGAAAGGACAAGGAGATCGTGGCCGAATATGAAACTCAAGTTAAAGGTACAACTTTTTAATAATAATAAAAAAAATGCATTTCGCTGCACAAAGTGAAGCAATGTCGCGTCAACCTCCCTCCGCTTCCTTACTATAATATTTCCTTTGGATCGGCGTGTTATTTTCTCCCTCTACCTCTGTGTCTGCGCCCTCACCTATCACTCCTGCTCCTTTTTAATTGCGCCGACCCTTTGCGAAAAACGAATTTGTCGCCAGGCAGACGTATCAGATGTCTACTATTTAATTAATCGGAGTCATTTAAAGGGTAATTATGATGTCTCCAAGCGTGTGATCGCATGGGTAAGAGGCAGCGCATAGATGGCTAACAAAGGCAGGGGGAGGAAGAAAAAAAAAAACGCGCAGAAATCAGAGGTGTAGTCCAGATGTGGCCTCAGCGGTCTGTTATAGGGAGAGAGAGAGAGAAAAAGCATATGCAAAGGTGATGTGTAGTAGAAACAGGAGGAGGAGGGTGGAGGGGGGGGGGGGTTCAACACAAGCTGGGGTGTAGGGCGTTTTCTTTCCCTCGCTGCATGTCTCCTGCTTGTCTGCCTCGCTATTCTGCATTATGCTCCTCGTTTATGAGTTAAACACACATTGCAATTAAAAAATGGGAGGCATGCTCATTGATTACAGCTCATCTACAGGTTAGGCTGGTAAAAAAAAGAAAAAAGAAAAAAAAAAAGAAAAGGAAAAATCAGATTGTACTGATTGGGTTCTGTTGTGGCTTGGTCTATGAGAGTTAAAGTGACTGCTTATCTGATCTGTGAGGTTTATGTGGTTCATACCTCAAGCTGCAGAAAAAAAAGGAAAAAGAAAATCAGGGGTGGCTGGTAGGGGGAAGAGGGGATGAAGACAGGATATGATCCTCCCATGTGAACAGCCTGTGTACTCCAAGCTCTGCCACCGCTGGTGCTAGATCACTTGATAAGATGGGCCATCATCATCACCACTTCTCACCTCCATTTAGGACCGGTCTGATCCCTTCTTCCTACTTGCACTGTCACCCTCAGGCGCTCCCCTGTCTCCTCAGAAAGAAGCTGTTTTCCACGATCAACTTGTTTTGCCAGGGCTGGATTAGTCAGCCGCAAGGGGAAGAGGCATAAATTATGCCGTTGGACTGGAATTTCTTGTGTTAAAGTACACAAATTGAAAGGAAAACACGAGGTGAGCGTTTAGGTGTGGAGCCTTGGAACACCGTTTTCCTTTGGAAAAGGCTCACGTCTTCAGAAGATAGACGCGCAGCTCTCAGACGACTCAGACCGATGACAAGAAAGGGAAACTCGATGATCATCGGTTCTGATTGTAAAGGATTGCAAACTGGGCTTCGTTTGGATTGCAAGTGACTAATAACACTGATAAACGAGCAGGGTCTTCTAAATCTTTGAC